TGGGGTTTAGACCCCAGAGTTCTCAGTGTGAATCTCCTTCAGCTGAGATATTTCTCTGGAACTACAGCTGCTGCCTGTGGGTATCTGGTGAGCCCTTTTGGGGCTCCACACTTTGTACCAGTCCTTATATGGTCTCCACTGTCCATCTTTGGTTATCAGGGTTCTCTCCAGCCATTATTCAGTTGATTATTCAGGATGGGTTTTCTTTATTCTAGTTGTAATTCCACTCTGGTCCTGGGTGAGTGTCAGTGTACCTTCTACTTACTCTGCTGCCATTTTGGATTCTCCCTCCCATTACATATTTTTAGTATCTTAAGGTCAGGGCTCTTTGTAAATACTTCTTGAACCAACCATTGAATCTAAGAACAGAAATAATTTTTCAATTGTATGTTAATTTAAAATGTAACAAAACTTAATAAATCTTTGTCAGATTTTCTATTTAGAATGCTTAAAAAGTTATGTATATAAGAAATGGTTGCATGCAAGATTAAAATAGAGAGGAAAATGTTAGGACTTTAAATAGTAATTGAAAATAGATTGGTCTTGGGAAGAAAATATCTTTAGGAACTGCCCAGTTTTCCAAGTTCTCCATCATCCAGCCCCTCCTCCAGCATCCTCACCTTGAAGTCTACAATCCGGCATACCAAATTTCTCATAGATTCTCAAAAGTTGCCACAAATTCACTCTCCTCAGAACCTTTGCACATGCTGCTCCTCTCAACTGGCAATATTTCCAGTGAAATGCAGGTCTAGATTAGACGCTACCTTCTCTAGGATGCCTTCCCTGGCACACTTATGTTTTCTATCATCACAAAATACCTCAGACTTTGGGCACTCTCTGGTTACTTGTTTGTCTCCTCTAGTAAACTGTAAGCTCTGTGAAGACAGACAAAATCCACCTCGGTGACTATTATATGACTGCCTTGCACACAGGAAGTCTTCAAAGACTATGTGGCAGATGCTATTATTTCCCTACCCATAGCCTCTTGTCCTTATCATTTCTGTCTAGACTAGACCCACTTCCAGCTGCCAGCACCTAAACTCCCTTTGCTGAGCACTTTCTCTGGCCACTTAAGCCTGTTTTGCCTACTCTAGAAGCAGGGCAGAAGTTCCAGGGAATTTGAGCTCCCTGGAAGCAATCCTCAATCAATAATTGATGGGAGGAGAGAAACGAAGATGGCGGCATAGGTTAACGCCGGAGATTGCCGCCTTGAACAACCAATTCAAATTAAGCTTGAACCAGGGACCCACAACATCCAGAAACACAGGCGGGTTGGCTGACTAGAAATTCTACAACTAGAAGTAAAGAGACTATTTTATTGAGACTCAAAGGGGCCGCT